ACTAGTTTAATTCTCACAAAGACCTAGTATTAACACTGATGAGACAACATAACAGAATATAACTGATGAATAGCTTTACTTGTTTATAATTATATTCAGCAGACCTGAGTTAACGAGAGTAATTGATTGCAACGACCCGCGAGGCTCGGAGAAGGCTTCATTGGAATTCAAGGGTTCACAATTGGGATTTGAAAAAGAAAAGTTGATTAAATATGGATGAAGTGTTGAAAGGTGAGAAGTATTGAGAGATTTACTGTGCTGTAGTTTACGGATGCGCCCAAACCATCCGGGTGGTATCGCAAATATATAGAGAAAGAACAATGGAAGAGTTGTCAGCCAATGAGGAAGTACTGACGTCATCAATTCTGATCAAACTGATTGTAGAGTTTTTTCTGTTTCTGTGATACTCCGTTTATTCAGTAATTTGCAATTGAATGAGATGAAATGGGGGACAACTTTCAGGAATACAGAATAAGTTTCTTGCTAGCCGGCCGCTTAAACAATTTAAGATTTTCTCGCACGTGAAGCGGTCTTGATTCTGATAAAGTCTCTTTCCTGATATAGGATCGCTACAGTCAAAAGTTTAACGGTCGCAACGATTAACTGCAAGACAACTCTTCAACGAATCGTAGCGTTCGCTAAGGAAGACTTAAGTTTTAACCGAAGTCTAAAAAGCTGCGGTCGCCGACTATGATTCAGATTGCTACTTTGTTCAGCGATCAGCGCCATCAGAATAAAACAATTGCGCTCAATCCGGACGACAACAATCAAGTTAGCATTTTATACGGGATGGAAATGACAAAAACTGTACTTTGTTTGACTATTTTTGTTTTCGGGGCGTAAACACAAATTACCAACAGATTTTAGTCCCTTTGATCCGGCGTAAACTGCACAGTAAAACGGTGAGAGAAAGATTTTAAAAGTTTTAAATCCTACCGGTTCAAGTAATCGACAAACCATTTATTCATTGCCTCGGTTTATAGGGCTTCGTTGATATTGTTTCAAAAGTTCTTTAAAAAAAAGCACAATTCCCACAAGTTATAGCGCCTTTTTGTTTCAACCAACAATAAGCATGCAAATTAGCAAACAACCTGGCTGGTAAGTCTCCAATCACACGTACCCCGCTTTTTTTGGAAAAGAATACACATCATATACAGTGGAAGCTCTCTGGACGGAAATTCTTGTAAACGGACAGCTCTACTTACGGCGCCTTCACGAAACCTCGTTTCAACTCTGATACGAACTCTGTATTTTCACATTTCCGTAAGCGGACAATTCCCGTATATTGGCGGCCGCTGACACTTTAAAGGTTTAGGTGTTAGAGTTTAGCTTTGTTTTAAGATCCCGCGAGTGGCCATCTGAAATGAAATCACATTCGCCTCTGAATCTTGCATCATCTGTTGCATTTTAACATATCAACTTCCGTGTTCACAATTAATTTATATCAACTTCAGTGTTTGTTTCTTTTTCACAACACATCAGGTTACACTTCAAAACACCACCTGAATTTTATGCTAAGACTGGATTACAGCATTGTCAGAACCGTAGCCAAACAGCTAACAAAAAAAGAGGCCCGCTCCAGTAACGGATACCTTTTTTTTTGCATCCCGAGGAGGGTGTCCTCTTAAGAGAGCATCCGCTGCAAACATTCTCGTCCAAACTGGCATTACGAAATCGTTTCGTCCATCCAAGGCCAAATTTTCTCATTCTTATAGGTTGAAGGAAACTTTTATTATTTGTAATTTTGCGTTATAAGTCTGATTCTCCTTTTTACATAATAATGTAGTGATAATTAGTTATAGCACAGCAATCCAGCGAGTTTCCAATTTAGCATCCTTATCATATGCGTATCTTTGACTCATTGAAAAAAGGCCAAATTTTCGCATCCTCAGTGATTGTCCTGGTCTGTATTGCAAAGTTCCTCTTCTATACCTCACTCGCTAGAGTATTAAACTGCTTGGTAGACAAAGTTGTGCGTAACCGTCCCACCAAGCACTTTCTCGTCCTTCTCTAACCCAGAATCTGATTTCTGAACTTAGTCAGCTCATTCTAACACTGGCTTAAGGTGAACCTTCTTCACTTTCAAACGCAACATATATTGGGAGCCGACGTTACAACCGTCCTAGGGGGAGAGTGTCCAATCGTCACGGGTCCAAAAAATTGTCGCGGGTTCAAAAATAAACATTATTTTAACTGATAATAATCGCTTAAATTTTATCGTCGTTCATTCCTATTTTTTTGTAGACTAATTACTTAGGTCAACAGAATTACAAATTGGCAATCCATTATCTTTGCAAGCTGCCACTCAGATCATCAGTAAGTGAACTGTCAACTCTGATTCTGTCTGGTGGTTTTAACTTGGTCCAATGTGGTATAAATTATTTATGCATTGTTTTCCCGGAAAAAAACCAAAACATCGTTTCTGTGACGAAATTCTGTTCATAGGGGACATAAAGCCCTTTATCAGTGACAGTGAATTCATCTTCATTTTGTATTTTTCTACAAGTCCGGCATCTTGGTACTTGTCCTCTTTTCTTGTTCTTTTTTTCTAAAGTCCAGACCTGTTCGTGTTTGTTTCGAGGATCACTTGAAAGGAGATCCTGTATTATTTCTCTTCTTCTTTTTTCAGTGGTCTTTTTAAATACAAGATTCTCCGGTATAACACAGTGCGCATTTCCAACAATAGTCAAGGCCTCGTCATCAGTTAGAAATAATGCATCAGTCAATTCCAGCTGCGCCCAGCGCACCCCCCCCCCCCCCCCCCCCCCCGGGCCCCCCCGGGGGTTTGCCCCCCCTTTCCAGTCCGGGGGGGGGGGGTTTGCCAAATTTTCCCCGCCCCGGGGGCGGGGCGCTTGTTACCCCCCGGGCCACCCCCTAACGCCCCCCCCCCCCCCCCACCCACCCCGGGCTACTGCAGGGCATTAGCCCGCCTTGTCAGTTCCGGGGATGGGGCATTTGCAAATTTTCCGCTGCCCGGGGGCCGGGCATATGTCAACCCCGGGGCCAACCTCTAGCTTTTGACACGCACGCGATTTCCTATCAGAATATACCTACACAGAGGATTTTAATGGAAAAATAAGCAGATTGGCTCATCTGTCAATGAGAAGGAAAAATTGTAAAGGCATGTTCTCGATTTTATGCATGCATCTCTTCATTGCTTATTAAGCCAGAATTACATAGCAAAATCGGGAGCTATTGACGTAAATCAACATTTTTTTCGTTATTGAATCAAATTTCTTTGGATATTATTTGAAGAACATTCTTTCATACTTATAAAACTATATTCATAACTGATAAATTTAACTGCGCACTATTAATTTTAATGTCAATAATTTTATAACAATACTAAAACCATAAACTGGTGTCGTCACGGCGTGAAGTCTTAATTAGAATAGCACTATTACAAAGAGAACGTTAATTGAAACAAAAAATCGCACATTAGAATACTTAAAATGGCACTACTCGAGTGTGCGATCACTGAAAAATGTGCAAAGTTGACGGAGGACGGGGCATTTGCACTCTTTTTTCGTCTGTACCCCGGGGGATTTGACAGCTCAAGAATCCCCACTCCCGGGAATTTGCCATCCAAGGCAAAAAAAATGCTAATGCCCGAGGTCAGCCTGGGGGGTGGAGGGGGAGGGGAGGGCTGGGCGCAGCTGGAATTGACTGATGGTAGTCACTTGAAGGGATAGACGAGAGGGCCCTTCCTCGATCCTGAGACTGGGACCGAGTTATACGATCGCCGAGTTTAATCGCCGAGTAAATCTTCGTTTCTGCATCGATCACCGCATCGCAATAGCCAAAAAATGGCGCGTAAGGGAGTCAGAATGAATACTCGCGGGCGTATTCAAAAAGATGCGATGTGATTTATTTTGTTTCTTTCGTCTAAAATATACTTAACATTGACCTATTCGTACTTCGAAAAATATTACTGGCTCCCGCCACTGATATTAAACGGAAAAAGGCGAAAAACTACTTGGGGTGACAAATTATTTTTCTTCACAAATATTAAAACAGATGGATTTGAGACTTATGACAAGGTGCTGTTGAAATAAACGAATATACCCCCTCAAAGCCAGAAATGGAAATTATTTTTGTCTTCCTTATCTCTAAGCAGACTAGGGTTCCCTGACCTATCCCTACAAGGGATAGACGACAAGTACCTCTCCGGGATTGGACGGCCGGTCCTATACTCTGTGAAACATTAACCAAACGCGTCCGAAAGAGCGGGAAAAATAAAATCCAAACAAGAGTAGGCGTACTGCAGTAGCTGTTTAGGGACTTGTCAGAAATTAGCAGGGGGGGGGAGGGTGGGTGGAAATTTTAAATTTGGGTTCGGAAATGAGGTGACCTATCCCTGCAATGGGAGTGAAATTTGCTAACCCTCCCCTTGACCTTGGCCTAAAATATCATGACCCTCCCCCTCTTGTATAAATTATAAAATCTAGGGCTTGCAATACACTAGGGTGAGTCAGTAGGTATTATGAAAGCTCAAAATATATTTCTAATCTGTTCTTTGTAATGCCATATACATAGATTTTAGATGACAGCATTAAGGGTCCCACTCTGATTCTGACAGCTGATCACTCGACTCTCCTATTTCTCCCAAGTTTTTTTTACAAAATAAAGAACTTCTTTTTTCTTCTGTGGGTGAACCTCTACATGATCAGGGACACATATTTGCATGACCCTCCCCCTTTTAACGGCCCATTTTTCATGACTCCTCCCTTTTCTGCAGTCTCAAAAAGTTGTGACCCTCCCTCTGTTTCCACCCCCCATCCCCCCTGCTAATTCAGGGGCGGATCTAGGGGGAGGGTGCAGGGGGTGTGCACCCCCCCTTCCCCGAGATGACCTGCGGTTTTCTAATACAACTGGTATTCTGCAAAAAAAAAACTATGTGGTTTATTGGTGTTGAAGTAGAGCAAGAGACGGGTGCACCCCTTCCTAAAAAAAAATCCTGGATCTGCTCCTGTAATTTCTGACTAGTCCCTGCCTTAGACATGTCTTCGGAAAACAGACCTGGAAGTTTTTTGTTCGTACCAGATGTAAAATCAGCTGAAAAGGTGCTCCACGAGCATGAGTTGGATACGACAACAAGTTTTGTTATGTACTACAACATCGGTTTGGGCAAAGGTAAGCTTAAATGTACGGTCAGTGTATTCTGTGACTTTACTAATTATTGGTTTGTGTACACCAAAATGGAATATCCGGATGCAGAATATTGCATGTGGCACAGAAGAACCCTTTTTTTTTGGGGGGGGGGGGGAGGGGGGAACAAACAAAAAAAATTCCTGGCAATACCATAATAGGTTTTTAAATACAAAACAAACTAACAGAATAATAATGATGATAATAACAACAATGTTAATATCCAAATAAAAGACTAAAAAATGGAAGAAAGGTTCGAATAAGAAACAGAAATATCTTGACAAAAGAGGTTGTGATTGTAGGTGCCCTGGGCCAAAAAAATGTTGTGCAGCCATATAAAATTCAAAGGGACGAGGAAAGTTGCCTTCACTCTTCATGCCTCCTGCCTGCTGAAAATGGCTACAGGACACTGATAAAATCTATACCAGGGTCAGTTCAGAGCAGAAACATAAACTTACAGAAAAAAATGAACTGTAGGGGGGGAGGGAAAAAGAAGGGTGGGGCAAAGGCTGTTTTAGATTGGCTAGAGGGGGGCTAATTTTTTTCAACAATTAATAGGGAGGGTCATGATTTTTTAGGTTTTGCAAGGGGTCTTGTCTGTGCTTTTGCAAATGGGATTACTTTTACAAAATAAATTAACTTCAAAGATGCAGGTGGTGACGATGGACAACCCAGTTAGAAGAATATTGTCAAAAACTTCACTGCTTTAATATTTCACACTTTAATAAAAGACAAATCCAGATCAGCCTGTTTACAAAGGCAACATAGCTAAAATTAGGAATCAGAAAGTGCAAAAGCAGAAGGGCTACAATGACTGTGCACTCTTTGCTATAACCTTTGCCACCACTCTATGCCATGGTGGTGACCCCACCACCAAGAGATATGACCAGAGAGCCATGCGCCCACACCTTGTTGATTGCCTGGAGTCTTCAAGGATGACCGAGTTCCCACCAACTGATGATACAGTTGAGCTTGTTCATCCTGTGGTAGGCAAAAATGTACCTATTTACTACACATGCCGATTGCCTAACAACAACGCTGCTTATGTCAAGTGTTGTGGATGCTGTGAGTGGTACCATCCAGATTTTGCTAATATCCCTGAATCTGCATTCCATCCAACAACAAAATGGTTGTGCTTTGAATGCAAACAGAAAAACACAAACACTTAAACTCATGTGATATCAAAACAAGTCTTCCTGTTATGAGCAAAACCTTTACCCTTTTTACGGTAGATGAAGCAATTTTTTCAGGAAACCTTATATTACATTAATATAAAATAATAATTACACCTGTAACAAAGTATTGATTAGGTTATTGTGGCTGTACTAGAAATATTGTGTAAATTTAAAACTTGACATACATTGAAAGCTTCTTTCTCTGGTTTGATCAGTTCAATAAACAGCAGAGACAGAACTTTTTTTCTCAGCTGTTACGAAAAAAAAAAAAAAAAAAACTTCGAGATGGAAAAATTGCCAATTTTTATAACTTCCAAGGATCTAAGGAAGAAATTGGATGTGAATTTTAAGCCTTAGGAGAATCTCTTCTCTTTAATGAATCCTTTCAGAGGAAAAAAATTGTTTATTTATCACAAACAATGAGTCACATGCCTGTGGCTAATGAACAGTCAAGCCAGAAAAAACAAAATTAATACAAGGTAATGCATAAAGAAACCACCACAACTTGGCATACTAACAGATTGTTGTATGCCTCCTTTTGTTAGTGGCACTGATTGTTCGTGATTCTTAGTTATTTTGAATAACTTTTGTATGTGAATTCTATCAATCATGTGTTGGATGGTTTCATGTATAGGCAAGCAATGAGCAAAACACCCATGTCCATTATGCTTTTACAATGTAAACCATTGAATAAAAGGTTTACTATCCAACTAAATAAAATCACATCATGTTTGCTTTGTCCAGTCCTTGCATGCTGTTGTGTGCGGTCATTGTGTGTGCTTTGTCCTCCTTCAAAGGCAGAAAAAAATTGGGCTATCACATTTTAATAGCCACACCCTCCTCCCGGTTGACAACATATAATAAACTTCCTTCTTACTCCTGAGGAATTCTATTAGACTGCATTCACCCGGGAGACTTTCTTAAGATATGAATTTTCCCCAGAGGAACTTATTGAACAGTACTTTTTTTCCTAATAAAATTCCATGAATTCTTTGTTTACCCTGAATAACTCCAATGTTTAAGACTATTCCTCAAGGATTTCCAAAACTATTACAACATACCCCCTAGAGAATTCCATTGATCTTTGCTCACTTCCTTAACCAAAGGGGAGTGCTGATATCAATTATGTACGGCGGCCCACAGGGGACATGCTGCAATTTTAAAAGTTGCTACAATTTTTGATAATTTCTGCTGCAATTTTAAAAGTTGCTGCAATTTTTGATAATTTCTGCTGCAATTTTAAAAGTTGCTGCAATTTTTAATAATTGCTGAAGAAATTATCAAAAATTGCAGCAACTTTTAAAATTGCAGCATGTCCCCTGTGGGCCGCCGTAATTATGCAATAGTCCATTTCAAACTGGGATTGTACATTGCAATACAGAATTTGCACATTCTCTTGTTAGTCACTTAGTACAGTGAAATGGCATAAGATTGGAATAACAGGTAATGTTGTCAAAGAAGAGGGGTCCCGGCCAACACTGGCAAAAATAAATAAGAATAATCCATTGTATGGGCCTTGTGACCTCTGAATAGGAATTCTCTTAACAATCTCGTATCCTGCAACAACAGCTTCATGTCTTTTTTACTATTGTTATCATATTTTTAAGCAAAAGAAAAAACGTTGAAACTGGAGGTACCTTTCATCTATGTGACGTGAACATAGATCACAGGGCCCATTGTCAATTAATAGACCTTGTCACGGTTTTCGACGCCATCTTGACGAGTAGGCAAACGCGCGAGAAATTACAGTGATTGTATGAGAATCTGATGTCGAATAATTTCCGTAGAACAGCTGTTCTGAAAAAAAAATATGATTTGTAAACTAAAGCTTCACTGCTAAGGATTCTCCTAAAAAAAAATTTAAGGCGTTACATGCACTAGAAGACCTAGAACCACTTTTTTTAATTTACTATACATTTGTCTGTAAGAAAGTCCCGGGAAAATTACAGACAAATATATGGAAAATCTAAAGCAAGCCTCTGGAGAAATTCAAGCACAGGTACGCCCCCCAAATTTTTTAGGATAATCCTTTGCTTTGTAGCTTTAGTTTACAATTGATATTTTTTTCAGAACAGCCGTTTTACGGAAATTATTCGACATTAGATTCTCATACAAACACTGTAATTTCTCACGCGTTTGCCTACTCGTCAACATGGCGTCGAAAACCGTGACAAGGTCTATTGCAAAGCTTGATCAGCAGTTACTATGAATCGAATTTTCTACGAATTCAGTAGAACTGCAAACGACCAAGCAACGTTTTAAAACTCACCTTAATTCAACTCGAGGGAAGAGATAATTGTAGCCTCTGCACACATACTGTATAACAAAAGAACTCATGATTTAATTGTTCACGTACCCCTCACGTACGAAGATCCATTCGGAAAAATCTTCGGCGATCGTATAACTCGGTCCCAGTCTCAGGATCGAGGAAGGGCCCTCTCGTCTATCCCTTCAAGTGACTACCCAAAACTACCCACCTCCCCGACGTTGCTGGGCAGCCAGGCCTTATTCCCACTGACACACTCAGTTCCTCTTTCGTTTTGGGCACAGACAGACCGACATTTTTGTCATCATTTGTAGTGACTTTCAAGAAGCGCTATCTTTACTCGTTTACCGGAATTTGTGGTACATGGATGCACAGGTTTGCTTTTTGAAAGTTTTATTTAAAACCTGGATTGATCACTTCTTTCAGATCAGCACTGAGATCAGTTCGGATGGACGTTTGAAAACACTGATCACTTTCCGGGTTAATAACCTTTTCGATGCTAGTAAAGTCGCTTCGATCTTTCGACTTATCTAGGAAGATCGAAGGAGACTCTGTTCGCAGGGTAATTGATCAGATTCTCGGCTCTTACTTTCTCTCTTGCATGGCTTTTAGCGTTTACGAAGTCGTTCGCGTGACCTGTCTGTCGCAAAGTTGGTTTATTTACATTTCTCCTTGGGCGTAAACAAAGCAAGTACGCGATAGACAAGCTACGCGAACGACTTCGACTTCCTTAATAAAACCATAAAGGCAAGCAGGAGAGAAACCTCTGCGCGCAGGGTATTGGTGCTTAGCTCTTCCTAGCTCGTGCAGACAGAGAAAACAGTTTCATTCTGAAATTGTCAAAGAACATCTGTGTGAGAGGCTACAATCAAGGACACTCAACTTGGGTCACACTGCTCTGATACCTGTCTTTCTTTCTTCCAATGTTGTTTTATAATGGTTTTTCGGTGGAATTACCTCAAGTTTGAGGCCAGCATTGAAAGGGACGTGGAAAAGGAGGTTGAAGACAACATGTCAACGTTATTTGTTCAATTGACCCAAGTTCTAATGTCACAGATTGTAGCTTAATGTGGTTATAAAACTTAAGTTATTTATTTTCATCTTTCATTATGTTCTGAAATGGTGTCATTTTTGTTTACTTTGTCAGAATAAAATGAAACTTGCTCCACTGGATTGGATTTTGGTTTTCCTAAAGTACTGAGAAGCCCTTGTAAGCCGCTGTTTATGGTACTGTCTGAGTGTATTATCATAATTATGTATAAATGACTGTAGCAAATTAATGAGAGGACATCATTGTATGTTGTGGTTCAATTCAGTTTTATCCTTAATTAATTTTTTTTCTACTAGTTTTGGGTATGATAATGTTCGAATAAGTCATGAGTATGAAACAAAGCAAATTAGAAAATAATACCACCACAATTACATAAGACTATGCTCTAGAAAAACTGAAAGAAACCCAGTACTTTAGCTCTGAACTTGTGAAAACCGGGGTGCCCAACATATCATTTCTATGAAAAAAATAAGATTTCTCCAGTAAACTAGCCTGCATTGCAGCTGGCCAACACATCATCTAGACCACTGGTACCGGTATATTCCATTTGCGAATTAGTGCACAAAAGCTCGTTCTGATATCTATCAGAGTCACAAGGATATACGTGATCATTTCTGATAGGCGGTACGCATCTCACGATTGGTCCAATTCTTATGTGTGTGTGACGGTTGGGCCCAGGTTAGACATGTCAAAATTCACAGAAGGAGTTTGGCAAACAGTAAACAGTAGAAGAGAAGTTCAAACTGGAAAGCCTTCAAGGAGTTGTCTGTTTATGTACATCAAACTCTCTTAAGGAAGTTCCGGTCTTGACCAATCTGAACGGTGTTCAGCTGACCACTCACTCGTGGCTTTGCGCTCTTTTGCAAGCGTTAGTTCACTCCCTACTTGTCACGAGTCGACTTGCTCCATCTGCAGAAGATTGAATTCTTTTTATATAAAATGTTGGCGCAAAAAATAATTGTTCATGACATCAGTTTGACAGGTTGTTTGACAGCACACTGAAATAAACAGTTCTCAATGACTGCATGGTGTAAAAATAGAGATGACCTGACCTTAAAAAAATTGTTTTCTGGGTCTGTATCTCTCCAAAATCAAAAGAAGCAACTCTCGTGTAATGTGTGTAGAAAGTCTTTGAGATTTCGAGTTTGCTTAAGTCGCCAGCTCGCATGAACTTTGGAAATCCTTGTTGGTGTAAAGCTGGATAAAAAATGCTGATCGACAGAAAATTATTAGTGAAAACTGTGAAAGAAGCACCGAAAACATAGTGAACAAGGTCTTTGAATAAGAGAGCAATTTGCCTTGTGGCAAGATCAGGGGCTGGCATTTACTGTACCACAAGCGCTCAGAGGTCCGTTCTAAAAATGAAATAAGCCAAGGACTGTATGTGGCTCCATGGAATCAGTCAAAAGGCCAACTAAAGACTCTAGTGATCAATTTCACAGCAAACCAAAAGCCCTCGTATTCAACGAAACCGGCATCACTGCTTAACCTTTTCTTTTGGTGAAATTAATGAAAGGTCCACCCAAACATTATCATATCTATCATAGCCCAATTTTTCTGCTATTTAAGTGTAAGCTTATGTTTTCGAACGCGATGTGAAATACTAGGCTTTTCCCTGAGCCTGTTGGCGCAAACATTAAGAAATCTCGATCACTAACGAACCCTTCTACCACTATCTTTTGATTATTGTAATTTTGTTGAAGGCAAGTTTCCCTTTTTCACTGGCAAAATTCCCGGCTGGGCTAGGCAAAAAGAACGGCTGAGTCATTACCAATTGAAATAGGCATTCCTAATTGATTCAGACGCCAAACTTTTCATGTACTTAATTCAATGTATTAGGTTCGGCTCATGAAAAGATAGGCGTCTGAACCGGGCCTAAGGCTTTAACAGAAGTAAAAGAAAACCATTAGTTAACTGTATTTGAGATCAAATCCTGTCAGAAAACAGGAAAAACCTCTTTTGTACAAGCTGACTCTAAGGTCACGTTTCACACGGTCATGCATATGCGCTATGAGTCATGATTGGCCTGTGAACACTTATTTCAAGTTGGGCTAATCACAAACTGCATGAGAAACTACCCAATCCCAAAATACCTACATATGTCCTTGCGACTTTGTGGGATTTGAACACAATATTGTGCACTATTTCACAGATACTCTACACAGGAGGTTTAGAGTGTCTATGACGCAGGCTACAGTCACCTAAAAGGAGCTGAAAGTAATGCACCAGGGGCCAGCCCTTTTTGATTAGCAGGATTGATAACAATCCTTCTGTAATTTGAATTTCTCCAAAAAGCAGCACTTGCCCGTCGGGCAAGATAAGAACAAACATCACTAGCCCGATGGCAAAATCCACTAGCCCCGGGCTATCGGACACGGCTGATTTACCCCAACCCCAGGTAAAGACAAATTTGGAGTTCCTTGTAAAACAACATGAAGATTCTACATAAAGTAGTGAGGTTTTGTATTCCTTCTTCTCCTTCTCCTTCTTCCCCTATGTTTGATAATTTATATTTTTTGCAAGTAAGGTAATTCCCTTGAAATTGTTCTACTATAAAATTTTTTTTAAAACTTGGCATAATCAACATTCATGATATGAACATTAAAAAAATGCAATAAAAAGATGGGGTCACCGTGCTTGTTTACGCGTCAGCAGGCTCTTAAACTGGGGTATTTTTGCTGGTTGCGCATTAAAAATTCGAATCCCCTTCTTACAAAATTAAGTCTTTGTTACTTGAAACACACGAAATTTTATTTTGAACATAAAGCTTCTTTCATTCAAAAAAACAGTATTGCTTCATTTAATTCTTTTTTGATTGCCTGGTTGTGGGGATATTGCACTTTTTCGGACAGTTCCGTGGTTAGCTTGAAGTCCTCGCCTTGACCCAAATACACCAAATACGAAACTATTTTCCAAAAAAAATCATTTTCTTCTTCAAACATGTTCTTTATTAGACTGTTCTTAGCAAATACCTGGGAAAAAAATCGGGGGTCACTGCGCTTGTTTCCTCACAAACTGCTGTGAAAGGTGGACATGGTTTTGAAATCGCAGTCACGATGGATAATTTGCGCGGCGGGGACTGGGGCGAGATACAAAATAACGTCCATCGTGTTCGAAGTATGCACTCGAGATCAAGCTTGTTTTCGGTTGTTTTTATGTGATT